ACAGGCACACACACACAGAGACACAGAGAGAGAGAGAGAGAGAGAGAGAGAGAGAGAGAGAGAGAGAGAGAGAGAGAGAGAGAGAGAGAGAGAGGTGATTTTGTGACCCAGAGGGAGGGGGGTGAAAGAGGAGAGGACAGTCAAGTGAGCGGCGCTGTGTGACGAAGATGTCGATCTGGAATTACGTGGTGACGGCGCACAAACCGACAGCTGTCACACACTCTGCAGTGGGGAATTTCACGAGTCCAAGTGAGCTGAATCTCATCGTAGCGTATCCTCCTGCATTTCTCTGCTGTTTAATGACTAGGTTGCTTGTAGCCGGTCGTTCAACGAAGGACCGGTCGTTGGCCGAGAGAAAGGAATCAGGTCCTCCCTTTCACCTTTTCCTTCCCTGCTCTCTCTTGGTGTTTCCTCTTTCTCTTTTTTCTTTTTTTTGTTTTCTTCGATTTTCCATTTTTTAATGTGTGAAGAAATGATTTGTTAACTCACCTCGGCTCTCTCTCTCCCTCTCTCTCTCTCTCTCTTTCTCCGCCTAACTTCCTCCCCCGAACACAACGCACCCTGATCAGAATGTGTATACAAGGATATTCCGGTCAGCTACCGTCGTGATGAGGGTGCGTTATGTTCGGGGGAAGACGGTTGTCAGTCGGATGCATAGAATATAATGAACGAGTGACAAAATAAATGAAATGCGAGGGAATTAACTCCAAAAGTGTTATTTCATAATTTTGTATTTCTTTATTTTTTATAAATAAATGGTCTCGCTAATTACTATCACTTCATCATCATCATCATCATCATCATCATCATGATCATCACGATCATCACGATCATCATCATTACCATCACCATCGCCATCGCCGTCATATTTATCGTTGTCGTCACCATCGCCATCGCCACAACCTTCGTCTTCAAAGTTGGCTCGGATCCGAAAGATCGCTGCCGTCCTCGCCCGAATAGGAGGACGTAGGATTGTTATATCTGTATTTGGGCCAACTTTAAGTCTAGATACAGCCGATATCCTTCCTTCTTTTCCTTTCCTTGTTTTGCCTTTTTCCGCCTTTGCGCTCCGATTCTCAGTGTGACAATATATATACGACTCTACGTTCCGTCCGGGGGAAGACTGTGGTCGTCGTCGTCATCATCCTCATCGTCCTTGTCACGCGCGAAAAAATCATTCCAACCTTTTTTTTGTTTTTAACCTCCGCTCTCTTGTGCTTTTGATTTCTTTTTTCCCTTGTGCTTTTTTTTTTTTCCTTTTGTTTTTCCTTTTGTTGCCCTATTAGCATCTGGTTGCTGCTGCTTTTTTTTTCGTTGGTTTCTGTGTACAATTAGCAGATCGAGCAAAAATCTTGAGGCTCTCTTTTTCTGTTTTTGACACCATCATTCTTCTTCTTTTTCTCCGTTCTCGTTGCCTCATTATGTTCAGCTATTCCCTTTCTGAATAGTTGAGGGCACTAAGGAGAGAACAAGAACGGTGAAGGGCTGGCGGTCATTTGTGCTCTTGCCTCTGTTTATGCCTGTCTGTTGTTTTTTTTTGGTGTGTCTTGTGTGTGTGTGTTAGAGAACAAACACGCCAACAATGTGCGTGTGTTAAGAGGTTTCTGTGCCTATTTGGATATGGTGGAGTTCCTCTCGCTTTGTATCTGCCTTTGTAGGTTTTTCGTTTATTATTTCTTGTGTGTGTGTGTGTGTAAGATATATATATATATATAGAGAGAGAGAGAGAGAGAGAGAGAGAGAGAGAGAGAGAGAGAGAGGCATGTGTTTCTCTTTGTTGTGTTCTATGACGATGCGGGGAGAGAGAGAGAGAGAGAGAGAGAGAGGAGATCAGCGTCGGGCTTGCGACAATAGCTGGTCATCGGTTTTCGATTTTCGGGGAGGGGGGGGGGGGGGGGGGGGCGGGGTTTTGGGTTTGGAGGATACACTGCCGGGGTTGTGTGTGTGTGTGTGTGAGGGGGGGAAGGTGGTTGTTTTGGGTTTTGGTGGTCTTTGACACCTAAGAATTGAAGATCGGCGCGTACCATTTTTTAACTCAGAAATACGAGAAATTAATTAAATATAACTAATACTGTAAAATTGATAGCGATCGAGTTGACGCAAGCAGGGGGGCATCTTTTGGGTGATTGTATGCAAAGTAATTTTGGAAACCACGATACACCAAAGCAAAATTTCGAATTTTGGAATTTTGGAATTTTGGAATTTTGGAATTTGGAAATTTGGAATATGACGTCGTGTCATATGTAAGGTGTCTAGAAGTTTGAATTCACCAAAGCAATCTTCGCTCATCATCGTTAAGGTAACATAGGCTGCGCCAATATGTTGACTCGGTTCAATGGCCCAAATGCACCTGCCTTGGAGGGACGAGGTAGGCGGAATATAGGTTCAAGCAAGCGAATGCTCCTGGGTGTATTATTCAGGCACACACACACACACGCACACAGAGAGAGAGAGAGAGAGAGAGAGAGAGAGAGAGAGAGAGAGAGAGAGAGAGAGAGAGAGAGAGAGAGAGAGA